AACCAACATCTAGAACCAACATCCAGAACTAACACCTAGAACCAACATCTAGACCCAACGATTAGAACCAACATCTAGACCCAACATCTAGAACCAACACCTAGAACCAACATCTAGACCCAACGAGTAGAACCAACACCTAGACCCAACATCTAGACCCAACATCTAGAACCAACATCTAAAACCTGTGAACTCCAGGTTCTGGTTCCTACCAATGATCCACATCAACATTTAGTCTAAAGATCTAAAACCTGGAACCTTGTCTGGTCCAACTTCACCACATCAGGTTCTACTGATGTTAGAGCCTCAACAGTTGGTGAAATGTGACCAAAGACTGGATTCTGGTAGAACCATGGATCCATCCATAGATAGACACTGACAGGAACTTTTTGGATAAACACCAGCCTGGATGGAACATTCAGCAGTTTCTTCTTTTTCCATTTCCAAGAAGCAATAATTCTTAAATCTGTGTCCTCTGTTGGATCCATTGATGAAACTGTTCTGATCGGGTTCTCTCCACATTTCATGTCTGTTGGAGTTTTATTTCTGGAGATACTGAACCTCTAAAATGGCTTCGGGGACGTTTTCTTGAAGGTGAAAAANCGTAGTGAAATATTCAACAGGAGGGCAGATTAATTATGCAGGAGATGAGCTCTTGATTGGTTGTTTTTTGAGTCTGTGAGGTCTGAGAGCAGAAACTCTGCAGCTCCGGAGACGAAAACAAAGCCGGCGGCGGCTGACAGGTGAAGGGGATTGATCGCAACGCTCTGCCGGGAAGCTTCTAGTCCTGCATTCGTGTGGATGAGGCTTTAAAACGGCACCACCACGGCCCAAACGCTGCTCAGGAAGGACTCCGGGAACGTCGTAGGGGTTGATTCAGCCTCCAGACTCCCAGAATCCTGACCGAGCCGAGGCTCTACATGAGACCTGATCCCAGCCAGCAGCCACCCGAGGATTAAAAATATGTTTAATGAAGTCATGCAGAGTTTTACCTTCATACTGGGATCATTTCTGGAGTTACAGACTCCTGAAGGTGATTTTTATGGACTTTTTCCATCATTTCTGAGCCTCATAACTTCACCAACAGCAAATAGACACATGACACTGAACACTGGATAACTTGTGAGTCATTTTTTAGTCATACTGGGAGGAGTTTTGTCACTTTAGACATGTTTATAACTATTTTGGACAACTTAGAGTCATTAGGAACACATTTTGAATCATTTTAGACACATTTTTGTGATTTTTAGACAACAGGTTGCTAATTTTGGGTCTTTTTTTTGTTATTTTATACAAGTTGAGTAATTTTGTTCATCATTTTGATCAATTTTTGTTCAGTTTTGGATGTTTTTTGTTTGGTAATTTGGACAATATTTACCATTAAGTTCATTACTGGTGGACACATTTGTCGTCATGTCATCCAATGCCATAAAATAAGTCGTGTCTAGAAGATGATCCGGGCATGAAATTATGTAAAAAGTCCATTAAAAAGCAACTTAAAGAGCCTGAAGCTCTTAAAACAGTCAGAGTAAGAAGGTAGAACTCTGTTGTATCAAATAAAGTTGCTGCGGATACAGAATGATCTGGTTCTGAGGAGGTTTGGGGGGAAACTTCTTAAAGATTTGGTTGATTTTATGCAACAGTTTCTTACGTGCAGCGGGCGGAGGTAGTTGATGGATTCCTTCCACCAGCGATGGTCGCTGACGGCGGTCAGCACGGCTTTAGTGGTCAGTCCGGTGGTGGTCAGGACCTCCATGGTCTTAGCTGTGGTTCTGTGCAGCAGATCTCCCGCCGTCCCCACAGAGGAACCCACAGAGGCCTGAAGTCAAGACGGACACTTTAAATCCTGAAATCCTCCAGCATCATGTCACTAAACTCTCTCAACAGTTTCATTAGTTTTATGACACTAAAGGACACAAAACGACTAAAGAAGCAGGATGTCAGCATCTTATATCCTCATTCTGGTCAGTTGCAGATGTATGCACATGTTTTCTATCTACCTGAAGAGAACATCAGGTCACAAGTGTAGCGGAGAAAATATATAAAACATCCTCTAACTTTATCTTTGAAAAATCCTGTACAGTCGTGACTCAATAATCGGACCCTGAACAATCCTAAACCTGCTATCCAACAGGTTTTTAAGAAAAACCAACAGAACCCATAAAAACAGCCTTAACATAGCGACAGCCTTGGATTGTGACTCCGACATGACATTTAATGTCACCAATCAGGATGACGGCGTATTATCTGACTGAACAATCCCACAGATTGNAGAAAACTAGCAGGTCTGAAAACATGAAACAGTCAAAACTCAGCCAGAACATTCTCCAGGACTAATTTCTGGTCCCAGAACACCAGCAGCTCTGTATCTACGGATCCTTTCTTACCCTCGGTAGCAGGAAACAGAGTCTCTCCTTCAGTCTTGGCCTCGGCCAGTTTCCCCGTCCGGAGCAAAACCTCGGCAAAGTTTTCCTGAGGAACTTCTCTGAAGGACGAGTAAACATCCTGAGTCTGGAACAGAACGCAGAGAGAAAACATTAAACTGACAAAACAACCAAAATCTGGAAACGACGGTGAGACGGGATGAAGATGACGGAGCGTCTTCATCAGCACAGAGTGAAGAGAAGCAGCTGAACGAAGACTTTAAAGATCAGCAGTTTCATTTCTGGTGAATCATTAAAAGAGGCATCAGGACAGAAACAATTATTAAAAAATAAAGTCAAAATGATGAGATAAAAGGTCAAAAATATGAAATAGAAGGAGAAAATATCAATAAAATGTTCAGATTCTGAGAGAAAACATCAAATATATGAAATAATAAGACACATTTTAATAAATATCAACACGGTTCTCTACAATTTATATAATTTCATTTGTCAGACGCTTTTGTGGAGCTCAGATTTAGTTTTTCTTTTACAGAATCTGCTATTTTTTGCCGATTTGTTGAATGAGACGTGGAATAAAATGATTTTGCCGTTCAGAGCTCAGATTTGGTTCTTTTTTGATGAAATATCACAGATTTAAGTGCTCAGATTTGTGTTTTTGTGGTGATTTTGCCTCATTTTGTGGCGTCTCTGTGGTGATTTTGAGCGACTTTTAAATGAGACATGAGGAATAAAGTGACTGTAACTAAACTGAAGCTTGTATTTGGTTGTTTTTCAGACTGAGCAGCTCGTTGCACGCGATCTGATGAAGGATTGTTGAGAAGCTGAACATCTGGTGATTCTTTCTGCTCCGTTTTTACAGTTTCTGGCTGATTAGTGGCCTCGTTTTGGTGATCGAGCTGCTTTTTAAACCTGCCGGCAGGTTTTAAGGCTCCGACGGTTGAATATCTGAAAGTTAAATTCCACCGTTTTCTGAAATACTTCCATCAG